TTTATTCATCAAAGAGTCACACAGACAGAGGTGACACGATGGCTTTGACTTGATAGTAAAATATTTAATCACATAATAGGAAGTGTGATCTTGGAATGAAGACTGAACCTTTTAAAATCATATTTTTCAGCCTATTACTCTCATCAGGGATATTGAAAACCAGACCGTTTTAGCAGATGAGGATGCTATATTTGAATGTGAAATTAAGATTAATTATCCAGAAATCAAACTCGCCTGGTACAAAGGAACTCAAAAATTGGATTCTAGTAACAAGTATGAAATAAGAATTAAAGGTGATCGGCACATACTCAGAATCAGAAACTGCCAACCTGCAGATCAGGGGAATTTCAGAGTTGTCTGTGGTCCACATATTGCTAATGCAAAGCTAACTGTGATTGGTAAGTGTACATTTAAAGTTTCTATTTGAAAGTATTTTATACTCTTTAATTTAACACTCAGATATCTACTAAAATATGTATTTTAACATGCTAACAGCAGCTGCAGTTGAACGGAATCTTCATGATACTGCTTTCAAGGAAGGACGCACGTGCACCCTGATTTGTCAGTTCTCTATCCCAAATGCCAAATCTCAGTGGTATAGAAATGGAAAAGCCATTAAGATAGGAGGAAGATACTCAACACAAGTCTCAGAGAAAATACACAAACTAATCATCAAAGATGTTAGAACAGAAGACCAGGGACAGTATACCTGCAAGCTTCACAATCTAGAAACAACTGCAGATCTAACCATTGAAGGTTTGTAAACAGATGGAAATCTCTTTGTTATGGTTTCTTGAAAGAGTTTCTGGATGCTCAGTTAACAGAAGATGGACCTGATGGGAAATTCTGCTGATCCATTCCTTTGAAGGAGATACCACTGCCAGGATAACCTAATAATATTTTATTTGTGTAATTAATATGACCCATTACTCTGAAACACTTTGATCTGAAAAAAGAATGAGGAGTACTTGTGGCACCTTAGAGACTAACACATTTCAGATGCATGCAGTGGAAAATACAGTAGGAAGATATATATACACAGAGAACATGAAAAAATGGGTGTTGCCATACCACTCTGAAACTTTGATCTGAGTTATGTTTATCCTGTTTAGTCTCCTCTTTCTGAGATGTTTATATTTTCCTGAGATTTCAAACTTCCAATGTGCCTATACACCAAGCATTCTTTATCTTTTCTTAATTGCTTTAATGACTTCTCTTGAATACTTCTCACAATAATCTTGTTGTGGCAATACTCTTGTGTCTTCTTAACTTCTCTCCTAAATGGAGCACTTCACAGGAGATAGAATGATGAATACACATTTCTTTGTACTTCTTTTTTCTTCATTTCCTTTTTAAATATCCTAGTAGATGTCTGGTGTTCGTTTATGGAATTACAATAAATTATATACAGTAACTCCTCACTTAAAACCGTCCCGGTTAACGTTGTTTCATTGTTACGTTGCTCATCAATTAGAGAACATGCTCATTTAAAGTTGCACAATGCTCCCTTATAAGGTTGTTTGGCAGCCGTCTGCTTTGCCCACTGCTTGCAGAAAGAGCAGCCCGTTGGAGCTAGCTGGTGGGGGCTTGGAACAGGGTGGACTGGCAGCCCCCCATCAGCTCCCCCTATCAGCTCCCCGCTCCCCTAAGTTCCCTGTGCAGCAGCCACCCAGCAGGCTATCAATTGCTGGGCAGGTCAGCTGTCCCTCCCCCCACTGCCATGTGCTGCTCCTGCCCTCTGCCTTGGAGCTGCTCCCGGGAGCCACCTGCTTGCTGTGCAGGGGGAGGAAAGAGGGGGGCTAATATCAGGGTGTCCCCTCCCCCCCTGCTCCTGTCCCTCTCTTACCCAGGGGGGACACAAAGGGCTCAGGACTGAGGGAGCTTGCTAGCAGCAGCTGCTGTCTCAACTTGCTGATCTACTTAAAAAGGCAATGTACTTAGAGTGCAGTCAGCGTACTTAAAGGGGCAATGCGCATCTCTCACACACAGGGTGTGTGTCTCTGTCTCTGTCTGCCATGCTGTCTCCCCTCCCTCCATTTGTGCTGCCTTGTAGAGTGTGAGTCTACATTAACAACAATGTGTTAACCCTTAAGGGCTCATCCGAGTGCTTGTTCATCATTTAGCAGTAAGGCATTCCCTGGGAAATATCCCACCCTCTTCCACCCTCTGACTTCACCACCTCAACCAAGCTTCACAATCATCATAGGTGTACAGTATTAAATTGTTTGTTTAAAACTTATACTGTGAGAGAGAGAGAGTGTGTGTGTGTACATATATATATATATATATATATTTTTTTTTTTTCCTGGTGAAAAAAAATTCCCTGGAACCTAACCCTCCCATTAACATTAATTCTTATGGGGAAATTGAATTAGCTTAACATCGTTTCGCTTAAAGTCGCATTTTTCAGGAACATAACTACAGCGTTAAGTGAGGAGTTACTGTACAAACCAACAAAGGTCTATTGCAACAAGGATAACTAATATATTTTTGTTTTGTTTCCAAACCAGCTGAGCCCATTCAGTTCACAAAGAGCATACAGAATATAGTGGTGAGTGAACACCAGTCTGCAACCTTTGAGTGTGAGGTTTCTTTTGATGACGCAGTTGTGACATGGTACAAAGGCTCCATTGAACTGAGGGAGAGCCGTAAATACAGCTTTAGAAGTGAAGGTCGCTGTCATTATATGACTATCCACAATGTCACTGCACAAGATGAAGGTAACCTTAATGGGATGTTTCCATTGTCACTGTTTCTTCTCGTTGTTTGTGTTTTTCAACGATCAACATGAGGTATATATCAAAATGCTTTCATATTCCAGGTGTGTATTCTGTAATTGCTCGTCTTGAACCAAGGGGTGAAGCAAGAAGCACTGCAGAGCTCTATCTGACAACCAAAGGTTAGTGCATGTAATAAACAGGTTTGAGAGTGTAGCTACATACAAGAGCTTAAATTGTGTGCTGGAGAGCGAAAACATTCTAAATACAAATCTGTTGTTCTTTTGCAGAAATGAAACTGGAAGTGAAGCCACCAGGTAAAGAAAAAATTGAGAACATGTCTATGAATCATCTGGCACTGACTTAATTTTGTGTCCTCCTTTATTTTTTGTTTTTGGAACCCTTATTTCTGGATTTGGTTTTAGTACACCAAGGCTAATATGCTAAGAAGGAATTTCCAGATCTATAAAGGAGGATTTTTCCCATAGGCAGCAATTGTGAATGTTGTGATGACTCCACAATTATTGAGGAATTTATGGGCCTGGGGTCCTCTTGCACATTACGGGAAGCCAACTTCCCCCCTTTCCTTGGGGCTGAGAGTGGACAATTAATTGGGCATGGACTTACAATGCAATATAGTGAAGGTTAGGGAAGGGGTAAAAAAACAACCAATCAAATAGACAAACAATATATCATAGACAAGGAAAGTGATCATTCTAATTATACTTAATAAGCTTCCTTTCTGTGGGTGTGGGAGGGTGTATGAGAAAGAGAGAGAACCATCTAAAATACTAGAATCTAATTTTTTTTTAAACCCAGAATATAAGGATTTAGGGTGTGATGCAATTAAAATGGTAATAAAATTAGGTGTGTGTAACTTGGCTAAACTATGACTGAGGAGGAGGACATGATAATGATCCATATGCATTTCTATGATAAATCAAAAGAGAAGGAAAAATTGCACAAGGTGGTCCAAGAGGATATAAACAGGTGTAATGGATGAAACTGAAGACAGGAGATATAGTCTGAATGTTTTCTAATGCTGAGGAGTAACAGCCTGTAGAACAGTTTCCGATGGGAAGAGGTCGAGGTCCCATCTCTTGAGTCGTTTAAAATTAATCCTTAGAAAATACTGTGACCCAGTCCTAGGGATTGGACAAGTTCATCAGAATCTCTACTTTATACATTTCTATATATTTTGACTTTCCAGATGTTCCTGATGCCAGAGTTGCAGTTCCAATTGAAGCGCCAGCTGAAGGTAAAATGAATAACCAGATTTTTATAATGAGATTTCTCTTTAGAATCTAGGCAAAGGTGCAGTGGGAATTTTGGAGATTCAGGAACCTCAGAGAAAATCTAGGATTGAGCAGTGTTCAAATTCACCCCTCTCTGTACAAAGCTTGAATGATCAGGGTTTGCTGGGGGAGGCAGTGGCACTGTTGCTTCTGGTGCTGGGTGTGCAATAGCACCCACTGACTTAAATAATTGTCAGAGTAGACTGGTCAAGTAAGTATGAGCAGGGTAATGGTCCCACTATCATGGGGAACTTTTCTGGCTTCTGTACTATCCTGGGGGAACCAGACAGCAAGAAGATGTGTCCTTGCTCCAACTCCCTTTGCCCAGATGCCTGCCTGACCTCGAGGACTACTCTTCCACTCTCCCGTGCGGCAGTCCTTGTAACCCCAATAAGGCAGGGTCACTTAGGACAGGGGTCATGGTGTCCCCACTCCAGGGTACTCTCTCTACACTGGCCACTTCCCTGACCCACTGATCACTACATTAACTTTAAACCAAATTAAACAGCAACTGTAAAAAAAATAAGAGGAAAATGGAAAAGGTTAAAGGAACAAGGGGCCCCGCCCTATGGGGATGGAGAATAACACAAAAAACAGTTTCAGCTACTTAAGAAAAGTTCACAGCCTATTCTTCACATGCCCCAGGCCTCCCTCCCAGGATCTGGCTGTGCTATGGTGATACAGTGGGTAAAACACCTACTCAGATGGAAGCTACACGCTCTCTGACTCTAGGTGGCAGGACCCTTCTCCCCAGCATTGGCCCTCCTGTGGTTCAGGGTCCCATTTTCCTCCCCCCTTGAGTCCGGCCTTCAAGGCCCTCTTGCCTGGTGATGTCTCCCTCCACTGGGCCCTCGCTGCCTAGGGTCCCCACCTCCCTCTCCCCAGCTGCTCACCACTCTTGGCTCCGGTATTACTTGTGGCACAGAAGGCATCCACTGCCCAGCTCTGGCCCTGCAGCTCCCTGAAGTAGCCCAGCCCTGGCTCACTATCGGCGTGGCTGGTCTCCACTGCTCCATGCTGCTGCTGCTCTGCCTCCCAGACCAGCTGCTGCTGCTCCTCTTCCAGCCTAGCTCTGCCTTCTCTGTCTCTGTCCTCCTGCTCTTTCCCCAGCTCCACTCTGGCTGCTGCTTTCTCCTTAGCTCTGCCACTGCCCTACTTTCGCTCAGGCAGCTCCAGCTCACATGGAAGATGGGCCCCAGGCTCTAGAGTCCCTCATTGACCTGCCTACCCTGTCAATCCACAGACTTGGAGCATTGGCCCTGGGGACTGTCAGTCTCAGGATCCTGATTTCTCTTTTGCCCCTCCTCCTTTTCCTGGCATTGGGAGAGGCCAACAAAAAAACCCCACATTAAGTTTCAGTAGGAGGCCAACAGCCCCCTTACATTAGGATAGATTTGCAGTTCCCACCCATGGAAAGTACTATGACTGCTCTTGACTGCTCCCACCCCCACCACAAGTTACTTTTGATTTTTTAATTGTAATACAGTCATTCTGTATGTCTGCATGCAAAGTATATTAGGGATTTTTTTCACATATCATTAAGAATGTAGCATTGATATAAAATATATTCTTTATTTTTCTAAGATATCCCTATTCCTGTTTTGCTGCCTTTTGCTGTTCCACCACCAGAAGAGAAGAAAGGTAAAAGCTTATAGATTTAAAACTGGAAATGTTGTCAAACAGAATGTACTATGTTAAATCCAATTTTTTTTCTGTAGCTGTTAAATGCAAACATATATATAAATATATATATATATTTTTTTAGAGATCAAGAAAGTTCTTGTAAAGAAAGTCTCCAAAAAGGTGGTTTCAAAAGTTCCTGAAGAAATTGCTCCACCTAAAGGTAAAATGGATTTTTACATTATTTTTTAAAAAGGTATTTTTAAGAAAGCAATTTTATTTAATGTGGAATAATGAAAGGTTATTGTGTTTGACTTTTTTATTTTTAAGTTATAAAGATGCATATTTAAAGCCCAAATTCTCATGCATTAGGATATTTCAAAAATATGTTCTGGAACACTGATTATCAAGACAGACGTAATTTCTCACGTGATCCTAGTTAAAGGTTGTAACCTAGTAATACAAGATAAAGATTGAAAAAATGAGCATGAACTAGCATACAAGAACCTAAGCTCTGAAGATAAAAATAATAAAAACTTAGTAAAAAGACAAGCAAAACAAAGACAAAAGCTACTCTGTAAACATGTGACTGTTCTCTTATAGTGTCATTTTATGAAATTGAGGGATGCAGCTGCCTATTTAAAAAGAGGTAGAGAACACTGTAACTTCTTGCTTAGTCAACCCAAAGGCCTTGATCTTGTAGATTATATCAGTTAGAATCAATAGTATTTTCAGTGTTTTTCTCATCATAAATCTACAAAACATTGCTATCAGCAGCTTTGATTAGGCATATGTAAAAACCTCTCTTTAAATTAATTTTTTATTTATGTGAATATTATTATTATTATTTTATTTTATTTCATTTTATTTTATTTTGTTAAACTTTGTCAGGAATAAAAACATTTTGGGTAAAATAACGTATTCTCAAGATGCTAGTTATTTATTTCTATCTAGAAAAAGTGAGTATGTAGACAGTATACAACCTGTAAAAAAACTCCCAATGGGATTCCATCCTTTGACTTCAGTGGGCTTACAACAATGCACTAGGGACTTGATTCAGTGCCATTAAAATCAATGGGAGCCTTTCCATCAACTTCAGTGGAGGTTGGATTGGGCCATAAATGCAGAATTTAGGAAAGGTGCTAATTTCTTCATGCTCCATTTCTATTTTTTCTGAGAGTAATATTAGAACTGATCCTGTGACGTTTTAAATTAATGGGTTTTGCAGTTGACTTCAATGGGTGAGAAAATCTGGGACAGTGTGCCTATCACCTAGAGGTTGCTAAAGGATATATACTGCCTCAATATGCAGCTATATTTGCCTTTATAGTGTGAATGGGAGATATGTGTGCATATCAAGGAGAGATTAGACCACTAAACATAACATGTTTCTACAGTTTCAGAGGTTGTAAAGAAGCCAGCATCCTGGCCCCAGCCCCAAAAGTAACAGGATATTATTTCAACAAAAGAAGTGTATTTAAAACGTGTATACTAAGAAAATAATCCATTGTGTAGAAATAGGCCACTCGGTTTTCCTACCCTGTGATAATCTGCATCAGAAGTATGCAGATTCATTCTTAATTTTTCTTTCATTCATCTTAACTTCATTAAACAGATTTCACCCTGGTACCAGTATGTGCTGATGATATTAATTTGAAACATTTTTTTTCTTTTCCAACTTTCTCTTGCTGTTGATATATAATGAACTCAATGTGGTAGTCTTCCAGTGAACAAATAGGAGAAAATTGCCATTGAAATATGGGTCCTATAACCCAAAATAATGATATCATAGTTACGTATTGAGGCGATAGCTCTGACTTAGCTAACCTATTAGTAAATTGAATAACTGTGTCTACACTACGACTTTAATTCGGATTTAGCTGCGTTAATCCGAATTAATCCTTAACCCGTCCACACAACGGAGCCAGTTACTTCGAATTAAAGGGTGCTTAAAATCGATTTATGTACTCCACCCCGACGAGCGGAGTAGCACCAAAATCGATTTTGTAAATTCGAATTAGGGGTAGTGTGGCCGCACACCACCGAATTAATGTGGTTAAAATTAATGGGGTAGTGTGGCCGCACACCACCTAATTAATGTGGTTAAAAACCGAATTAATGTGCTTAGTGTGGCCGCGCACAATCGAATTTATACAATCTGTTTCCCAAATTCGAATTATCTAAATTCGAATTAATCTCGTAGTGTAGACGTACCCTGTGTCTGCATGAGACAAAGCAAGTTTGGACAATATCAAGAGTAGCAAAAGACAATAAAACAGCAATATAATACTTAGACTACTGTGTAAAAATGTTTAATATGCTATTTGAATTCCATAAATAGGTATATTTCTTAAATTAAATACACACATTATGCCTTGCAAACTCCATATTTTAATATGAGCAATCTTTTAAAGTTCCCAAAGTGCCAAGGAAGCCACAAGAGATCGAAGTGACTTCTGTAGCTAGAAGGGAAGAAGTTCATGAAAAGGAGGAAATATATGAAGAAAGAGAAGAGGTTTATGAACAAAAAGAAGAAATTTATGAAGAACAAAAAGAACCTTATGAAGAATGGGAAGAAGATTATGGAGAACAGGAATATTATGAAAGGGAAGAAGGTTATGAAGAAGGGGAAGAGGAATGGGAAACTTATGAAGAAAAACAAGTTTATCATGAAGAAGGTATATTAGAATTTTTTCTTTTTATTAATCTTTTTTCCTCTTTTTTTTTCTTCACTTTCCCCATCTCTCTATTCTCTTGGCCCTGCTCAGTATAATTCATTTGTTTTGGGATGTATAAAAATGTCACTGCTGAATACAATGGAACATAAATATTGAAATTACTATTAGTATTTTGTGCCATTTTCTTGACCTGTTATCTTCTAATTACCTATTAAAGAGGCCGTGACCTACGAGACCTAACATTTCAGCTGCTACCAGGATTTTTAAAGGACAAACAGAACTTTTTTTTCATTTTGGGACCCTTTCATAACAAGGATACATGGGGGTTTCCAGTGTGTATACATGTGTATACAGTCTGTATACAGCTTCACATGCTGCAGTGGGGTGGTGCAGGTCTTCTTCACCCGTCCTTTACTCTCTATGAAACTGAACCTGCACTGCTGATTTAATGGAAGTTTTGCCTTTAACTTCAATGAAAGCAGGATCAGGCACCAAGCAGCTTGTGGCTGCCTGTATAAAAGGAGAAATGAGCATATAGGGAAGGAAGACTCAAACCCACCTACTATACATCCACATTTATCTTTGTCAGGGATCTAAAGCCAACTGTAATGTATTTCCATTTATCCAGGTGCATTACAGCTGCAGTCTGTGAAGCCTATCCCAACCAGTCTTGTAGTATAAGGTTTAGAGTAGCTTTCCAGGATTTTGAGTTTGACAGTAGGAGTTATTCCTTAGTTAATCTATATTGTTTCTTTATGTATTTTTCCCCTGTATTCAGAAGTAAGCCCTGATCTCTCTGTATTTTCTCCCCAGTTGGTACATTGTGAGATTTTCTGTTGCTGTACTTTGGGGCATATTGTGCTATCAATCTGTACGTAGAACTTCCCAAATAAAGTACAGGGGAGTTATGATTGCAAATCAGTGGTAAATCATGGCCCATCATCAAGCAGGGCTAGGATAATATGAACACAGCTCAAGGTGACACATTATAGTGTGATTATTAATTTGTGGACTTTGAAGTTTGAGAGCTTTTCAAATGCACTATGAACTAGCCATAGTTTTGACACTTACATGTTTTTAATTATTTGAGAAGATTTTCCCAGCATTTCCCCCAGACAAGGCCGATTTGGGTGGAATGTGCCACAAATCTTTTCTGAAGCATTAAGAGCCATATATGTCAACAGCATGCCTCCCAATTATTTCAGTGGGAGAAGTGTGTATGTAACCGAGACAGAATTTGGTCCTAAAGTCAATGGGTTAGCAACAAAGCCGGAAATGAACAGAATCCCCCATGACAACTGTTGGATGTTCACAATTGTGTGTTTTATTTGTAAAATATTATATCATCACCTAATGTTAGCCTGTCCCACCCTGAGGTAAGGTGTACTTCTTCAGGGTGTGTATTTCCTCTTCATTAACTGTGATGCTGTTTTTATTAAAGTGATTGGAGTTCCTCAGAAGCCCATGCCTGAGCATATAACGCCAGCAATTACAGCTGAAAAGAAAGAAAAGAAAGAAGTGACCATACATAAAGGTACAGGATTGAGACATATCTGTATAACTAGGGTTATGGTCACTCTGAGCAAGTTTCAGATCTTTCTTATGCTGATGTAAATCTAGGCAGTGGGATCCTCCCCCAGATCCCTGCATGCCTATCTCCCCCCTCCAGCAGAATGCATAGGGACAGGGTGCTCAGGAAGACTTGGGTCTTCCCTGTGCAATAAAATAGAGACTGGAAGGTTGAGGGATACTGTAGAGATTCTTGGGCAAACATCATTCAGGCAAAGGTTTTGTTATCTCCCCCCATGCACCAGTCCTCAAGCAGCTGTGGCCAGGTGGAGTCCTTGGCAGAGCAATGGAGCTGCACTACTAGGAAGTGGTAGTCACCAGGTCCTTCATAAGGATCCCCCTGGCTCTCACTGGGTCCCTGGAGGTCCACCAGGTTTGGGGGAAAGCTGTATGGCCCATTCCACAGGGGTCACCATCACCAGTGAACCATGTGAGTGGATGTGCAAGAGGGAATACTGGCAAAGATTAAAACATATCCAAGTCGCATTAAATGCTACAGCTCCCAGCTCTGACTGATTTTTATCTGAGTGATCATTTGCCAGGTTGTCTAAATGTTGTGAAATGTCTTTAAATCGCCTGCAGTTGTTCGGAAACCTGTAGCTGAAGAAGTTGAGGTAACCACTCAAAGGCTTGAGGAGGAAGAACTCAGACTGCCTAAAGGTACTGGTACCTACTGCATGATTTTAATGCCACTATGATATGAAAGTAGTTGGAATATTGCGACTTTATGTGTTTGCAGAAACAAATGTTCTTCATTTAACATAGATCTGACCGGTTTTCAATCTTTGAGACAATGATGGTAACAACCCTTGCACACCTGTAGTGAAAGGAAGATAAATGCAGCAGTTTATGAGAAACATATGAGCCTGTAGAGCTAACATCTAATACTTGAGGGCAGGGAGTGCTGATAAACTACATTTGGAAAGGAGTATCTCCTTCACCCTTACCCACCCATGTCTGACCTCCAATTCTCCATACTGGTTCATCAACCAGGGTATCTTCAACCAATCGTTTGGGCATATGGATACATATGCATCCCAGCTCCTTGCTGATTGGGCCCCTAAAGCTTAACAGAATGAGGAGGCCATGAACATCCATGCAGCAGTGGTCACAAATTTCATAACCCCCTAATAAGATATGGACTGTGGTAGGGGATCAAAAGAAACAACCACTGTCCTTATATCATTTTGTGCTGTCCCATGCAAGCCTAGCACAGCTGCAGGGCTGGATCAGATTACATTTGTCTTGTTTGTTACATTTTCAGTGTGCTGCAAACATTAACTAACTGTAATATTAATTTGGTATCCTCACTACATATGGGACTAACAATTCATATTTCTAAAGTACCAGCAGTTCCCAAGAAGGTTCCGCCACCAAAACCTACCCGGGTGCCAGTCGAGGAGGAGGAAGTTATGAGAAAGAAAGGTACAGATCTTGACCTCTCAATTACCTATTCCATTCTTTCCAGCATTACATGTATCATCGTGCTGCATGTGGATATATATGTGTCTATTAGTATTTGTGTCAATTTCACATTGCCCTGCAGTGACCACTCTCATTGTTTAATTAGTAGTATGTAACGTGCATACTTTCATGTTTAATTTGTTCTGTTACAGAGTAGCATAGAATTTGTTTTTGTGTTGAGTAGTTTCTGTGCGTAGCTTTCAAATGTTTAACTTCTGTACATGGGATTGCAGTGTGATGTGGCTCTTCCTTCATGTATTCTGCTTGCTGGCTTGTATCTAAAGATGAATGGTCTTCGCATCCTGCAATTTCTTTGGAAAAGCAGCTTCTCTGTGCTCCTTTTCTGTAATGTTTACAAAGGCCACATGCTCTTTTGTTTTAAGAAGCGTTTTGTACTGTCTATCTCGTTGACCTCTAACAGATACTAAATTCATGTTCATTACTTTCATGTTTACTATGTTAGCACATACATACTACGTCTCTAATTCTGTGCTTTAAGACTTAAATGTACAATAGACTTACTGATTTGATAAAGACTGATACATTGTCTACCACAAATGTGGGTTCAGAAAAACACCACTAAAATGAAATCCTATTTTTAAAGTACCGACAGTTGAAACGTGGACTATTTCAGAAGAAAAGATGTCTGTTTCTGTTCATGCAGAAGAAGAATATTCTTATGTTTCAGGTATGTACGAAATGAAAAAGTTGTAAACCCAAATGAAAACAACATCTCAATCTTACTAGTTTCTTTTTATAGACTTTTTGGTGACAAATTATGTATTTTAAACACATTGTACATTTATGTTTCATATTACATTGCTTCTTTGTCATTGTTGTGTTCCATTGCTTTGATATTCTTTGAGAGAAAAACTTTGAATACAACATCTCATCATTATTAAAATGATTTTATTTAAAGAGCCAAAAGTACATGAGAGAACTGTCCTAGAAGAAAAAGTACATGTTGAAATTCCTGAGGCTCCCCCAGCTAAAGGTAGATTTTTAAAATCTTATATATTTATTAATCTTTAATTCTTAATTATTAAAAATATAATCCTATTAATTGTGAGTACTCTTCAGCTCTTCAGATTATGCTCCAAATTTCTGAATGTGCTTATATATGTATTTTAGACAGTTTGCATGCACATACAGTATTCTTAAAATAACTTCAGAACTACTATGGACATTACCATTTAATATCCCAACATTTAATATCTTTAAAGTTCCTGAGGCACGTAAGAAAAAAGAAGAGAAAATACCTGTTGCTGTTCCCAAAAAGGTGGAGGCTCCTCCAGTTAAAGGTAAATAAAATCTGTGCACCTGCGTTCAGGTGTCTATCCTCTAACCACAGGTTAGAATGCCAGACTTGCTCAGATTTCTCCCACTAATGGCTACATCCTCAGAAGTTACTTGCCCTTATACAAGTACACAAACATGAGTCTCTCTCAAGCTAAGCCATATTCTTAACTATTTAAATGATAAGCAGTTAGTATGTTCTTTGGTATGCACAAAATATATAATGTATGTTTAATAACATAGGTAAACTTTTTTGATTCCTTAGTATTTGTATATGTACATGTTGAAAGTTGTCTTCAGTATTCTACTAAATAATTTAGTAACTTCCTAAATGTTCACAACTCTGTATCTTTAAAGTGCCTGAGGTGCCAAAGAAAACTGTCCCAGAAAAGAAGGAACCTGTTCCTGTCCCTAAAAAAGTGGAAGCTCCACCAGCTAAAGGTACTCCAGCTCTCATGAGAAAAGCAAGATCTTTTTGTTTTTTGTTACCTTATTTTTGTTGTTGTCTTAAATACATTTGTGGATTAACTATACAGCTTTGTTTTTGTGTTATCTTTATCTGCTACATACTATGTTGATTTATGCAAAGATCATTTGTGCTGTAACACAGCCCATAATCACTTCATTTGTTTTAAACTTTGTCCTTCCTTTTCTTAGCCTTTCCTTTGTCTGTTATTTGTATTTAAATTGTATGCTCTTTGGCAAAGGGGCTGGCCTTTTTTTTTTTTTTTTTTTTTTTTAAGTATTATGGATTTTTATAATGTTTTTTTTTTTTTTTTTTTTTTTTACTTCTGTGAAGCACCATGGAAATGTATAGTGCTATATTAATAATATAACAATGCACCGTGCCTACCTTTCAGTAATTTATCAATAGCTGCCTACATATCTTAATATTATATAGCTACATGTTGCGACATGTGCTGCAGTGCTCACATCCTTAGCTGATCTGGATACCTGTATGGGTTCTATAAAGGACTCTTTGAGCACTGTACTCTGAATAAGCGTTCCAAAAACTAAAACACCACCATTTTGACAATGATGTCTTTAAAGTGCCTGAAGTGCCTAAGAAACCTGTGCCAGAGAAGAAAGTACCCGACGCTGTTCCCAAGAAAGAAGTAGCTCCTCCAGCTAAAGGTACATCACCTTTTGAGTGTGAGCATTAACAATGTTTGTCTTAATAATTATTGATTATGTCTAAATCTAACCATATGTTATATATACTTTTATATGCAGTCTATTGCTTGTCTGTTCTTTGTCTATGTAGTTCTCAAAATCTTTTTAGAAAGATTATTTAAATCTGTTTTTAATATCTTTAAAGTGCCTAGAAAACCTATTCAAGTTCCCATTCCCAATGAAGTGGTACTCCATCTGCTAGAAGTATACCAAATAGTAGATTGCATTCTATATGCACCTCTTTAATGTTGCTGTTTTAAATGTCTTTCATACAGTGTATATGTAAATAGATTTGTGTTTCAATGACAATGATTATTTGTGCATCATAACTGTATGTTTTATATAACACCACTTAATACTAACTAACAACAATTCTAGTTTCTTGACTTAAAGAATGCAGTCTTAAAATACTTGTGTGCATATTCCAAATATCAGAATTTGGGTCTGATTTCTTCAAAGACACTTTTCTTTTGGTAACCCATCTCTGTACATTAAAGTGTACAGTTTGTGTGTTAAATGGCTTATCTTCCTCAGACAAATGGATGAATGCACTTCTATAGCAATGTACCCCCAGTATCCTTTTCAAAACTAGCATTCAGTATTCTAAATTTGATGTTTTTGAAGTGCCTGAGGTGCCTAAGAGACCTGTCCCAGAAGAAAAAGTTGCTATTCCTAAAAGAGAAGAGGCTCCATCAGTGAAAGGTACATTACATTGTAGTTTACTGTGTAAAAGACTGTTCTTTAGTGTTTTGGTAGTGTTGTGGCAATGTGTGTCTGGATGTAATCTCCTCTTTAAAGTCTCCATTTGTGTTATGTGTTGCTTTTTCCATTTTGTAAGTCCTAAAACTAAATAATATCTTCAAAGTGCCTGCAGTTCCTAAGAGAGTTGTCCCTGAAGAAAAATTACCTGTTGCTGTTCCTAAAAGAGTGGAGGCTCCCGCAGCTAAAGGTATGCTTCCCAATGGAGTCACAGAACATGTTGATTCTTAAATAGCATCTGTTCTTATCTTCTGTTTTGTTATTGACCTCTTACTGCATTTGTGTTACTGTTGGAAGTTATACGTTAGCGTACTGTGTTACTGACAGGGGATCATGAGTTTATTTTGTGTGTATTGTGTAGCACTGTGCCATATACTATTTGTGCTCTTGTTATATAGTATCAGTGTTCTTAAATCTTCAAAAACCTAGTCATAGCAATCTGGGATATTATCTACTCATTGCAATTAGAAATTCATCAATTTAATATTAGTACCTTTCAAAGTGCCTGAGGTACATCAAAAACAGTTTTAGAAGAAAAAGTATATATTACAGAAGAAAGAGTATCTGTTATAATCTCTAAAGGAGTGATGTCCCACCACCTGAAGATATATTGCAAGCAGTGATCCATGTGAGAAACATCAATTCTGTAGATTGTTCTTGTTGTCTTAAAGTGCAAATCTGTTGTTTAAAGGCATGATTCCTAATACAGAAACATGCCTTGGTTGTTATATGTGAGTTTTTGTATTACTATGTTTTACATGTGGAGCCCATAACTTCCCAGTTGCTCAGAGCTTTCTGTGGGGTGTCCAATCCTTGTACTTTTAGTCCCTGATACAAAACCCATTGAATTGGATGGAAAGATTCTCATTGATTGCAGTGGGCTTTGGATCAGACTCTTAATGAAGACACAATGGAAGTTAAGGGTAATTGGATATTAGGCACCTTGCGGGATCTGGCCCATGAGGCATGGGTACACACATGAGGGTTGTATCCATCATTTCCTTCCCCACATACAGAAGCACTATTCACTGTGCTACAGATGAGAAACATTGACTGCTTTTGCACTATAACTCATTACCATTCTGGGGCAGAGTCTCAGCTTGAATGGAGACTGACTTCAATGGAGTTATGACAATTTACTCCAGTTAAAGATCTCCCCATAGTGTCCCAAGCCAAGATTCGCCATTTGTGTAATCCATTAATGAATAGTAAGTCAGATTGGGATAGTTACACACATTTTTATTCAGAAAACAACAAAAGGGCCAAAATTCCTAAAGTCAACACCCAAGTTACCCCAATGAAATATGAATATGCGGAAAGGTATTTGTTCATGTAAACATGTTCCTTTCTGCTTGCACCTAGGCAAATTGGCCTCTTGCCCTATCACAAGTTGAGTTTTTCCCTGATACAGTTCTAAAGAATATGCTGGTTTCTCAGTTTATTTGTCCAACACATCACCTGCCCTCTTATTTTGTACTAGTCTTTCTTTACCACCTACAAAAAGAATAAGAAGAATTATTTAACTACTTTACTGCTAGTTCTTCATTGTAGCTGCTGTGATGGGACGTTTAGGAAGCTGTGGCACTCCACTGAAAACACAGTTGAACGCTGAGAGTTACTGGAGATGTAGTTTGCCCCTTGTCCCTAGCACATGGGCAAGGAACAGAATTTAGTGCAAAGCAAACATACGTGTGCAAAGCATTTAATGTTTCCTGTCTATGGCTGTAGTTGTCACATTGATATGATCAGAATTGTTATACCTCTGCCACAACCATTGTTCCACAAAAAACATTAAAACTGAACCTATCTTTAAAGAACCAACATTGGAAGAATGGATAGAAGAAGAGGAAGAGGAAGCAATCATTTCTGTTCACAGAGAAGAGGAGATTTCATCAGTTACAGGTACAACCACAGTTCAATGAGTATAGGCTAAAATGAAAACGATCTCGGAATCCTGCTATTTTTGAAATAATTTTTTGTTTTTTTAAAAAAAAAATTAAGTTTTCCCTCACTGTGTAGGTGAACATTTTTCATTACACCGTTTGTTTAAATGCTGGTAAAGTTTCATATATTATGACATTTTGCCACTACTAAACAGCTCTGCCACTTCTTATGATCAGTCTTCAGCCCAACCCACTACAAAACGGTATAGTTGGTTGCTTACAGAAAATAGGTGAAAAACATCAATCTAATCTTAAATATCAAGAGGATCCTCCGTCCTCAGTCTTTATGAAGATTTTGTCTCTGAGGGAATTATTCCTCCTTTCCTGTTGTTGTTTGACTGACCAACTCAGAGATATATAATGACATTCTGTGGACTTCCTTAGACAATTCCATTACGTATGAGAATGAGCAAACCCACAGAAACACCTATCTATTGTCAGTGAATTCATAGTGAGATTTGTGTGTTGTTTTTTCTTTTGGTTTTTCTGGTATTGAAATCATTCCAATTTCCTAAAATTACACAATATTTTTAAAGTGCTTAAGAAAGAACCACTAGAAGAATGGGTACCCCCGGTTGCTATTGAAATAGAAGAACCTCAATTCACCAAAGGTAAACTAAT